TAGACCAATAGCACAAGATGGGTGATGTGGTCAGCATCACGCAGGCCACCTTTACTTTCCACGTCTTCCCCTGGTACGCACTCAAGGCTGGGTCGACCTGGGAGCTAAGGTCATTTTTGAAAATAGTCCGGCCCCGCCAAGGAGCAAACCTACGACCTTCTGATCCGCAGACGAGGGCCTAACCGCTACGCCAAAGCGACTACCAATGCAAAAGAAATAGGTACTCTTTAAGAAAGACGTTTATCTCGTCACCATTCTCTAAAACCACGTGCCAATGGGGACAGAACTCTTCTTTCTATTGTTGATTATCCCCGCTTGACTTAAAGATGGATGCTACTTCCGGTGTAGATTCAGTGAAATGATAGGACGAAACGAGTCACTGTTTGCATCTTTTGTCCAAACACCAGTATCTCTACCGCCGCCACAGACAGACCTTCCATTATAACTGCCAGCCCCTACAGTGGACACCTAGCTATTGGTTCAAGCACGTACCGAGACGCCAAATCCAGTGCGGGTGTTATTTTGTTTTTACAAAACATAGTAATGCATCCAACGTCGGTACAGACAGAGAAGAACAGCCTGTCACCTATACAACGTCGGTGGTATAACCGAATTCCGTGTCTTTCAAATACCTGTTGGATTGGGTAGCAGGCGTTATGTCTAGTGTACAGTAGGATGTGTGTACAATAATTGTACCTGTCCGGTGATAACAATAGATTGCCTGTTCGTGTGGATTATCTGTTGGTTTTGTGTGGCTGTCGCGCTGGTGTCATCTAAGGGAAGAGGCGCCGAATCCGTGACGACTGACTTTTTCATTATGTCAGTGCCAGCAAGCCTGACTGTAGGTAGACACCTGTGCTTTTGGAAAGGGTGGGGTTGGGGTGGGGGGGGCATGGGGGTGCAGATAGTCGATAGTCGATTTATTTAGTAAGAAAGCAAAGGGGTAAAAGGTAAGAGGGTCAGCCATCACGTTCGTACTTTAATCTTCGTCTTTTCTTCTTCATCTCCCCCCCCCCCCCCACCACCACCACCACCTTTTTTTCTACTTTACTATTTCTTCTTCTTCATCTTCTTCTTCTTCTTCTTCTTCTTCTTCTTCTTCTTCTTCTTCTTCTTCTTCTTCTTCTTCTTCTTCTTTTCTTCTTGTTTTGTTTTTTACCTTTCTTTTTATCATCACCATTATCATCATCACCCTACCCCTCTTAGGACCCACCTTTATTAGAGAATAATACACTTTAATAGTACAGTCAATCCTCTTGCAAGTGGGTGCCCGTCTCCATAATAAAGTGGAAAGAGATTTGCTGAACTATATATCTCCAGAACTTGATTTCTGCCTCTCTGATTGTATATTGATAAATTACCGTTCATACATCTAGCAATGTCATCATCCCACTTTTTTCGCTATCCAGCTGTTGCACCCCCCCCCCCCCCCCACAACTCTCCCCTATCCTATGTCTAAATAGTAATAATGTTATATTTTTCAACGCTAGCTAATATATTGTCGGTGTCTGTGGCTTAGGCGTTGCCAACGCGCTTCGTTATGTCGGGATGCCGGGTTCGATCCCTGCTGTGGACGGTTTGTCTTGCGATGGTTTCGACTGTGGTACCGAGAGCCGACCATCCAGAAGCAATGGCAAACTACTGGACGTAAATTTGCCTAGAAAAACCACAACAGCCAGAAAGTGCTGGGGTTGGTTCTGGAACGTCCTGTAAAGGATACGCAACTAACATTAGCTAACATATTTGTCACTGTTATCCCATTCCTTCTAGCAGTATACACTTCATAATATTTCTCTTAAAACTTTTTTCTCTCTGTATCTACACTTCATTCCAAGTTCACACAACCTCCTCCTTCACACAGCGCACCATTGAAAAATTGATTTCACCTGCCGCGCTGACACGCTGGCCATAGGTTACCGCCCCCGGTACAGGCTGACCTGGGTCAGTCAGTACTAGTGGCGGTCATTCAGTGGAAACCCGGGTCGGAAACACTTCTCTCAGGTGTTTACGTGTTTATGAAGCTATCCTGGGCCGTCCTTGTAGTCTCGAGTGTTTGGTATTCCCTAGTACCGGATGGAGTAATGAAACAGAGCGCGGGTAGTGCACTCAGTAAAAGGTAAAGTACTTATTGCACTGCCTGCTTGCAGGCATGGTGGTCCCCGGTTTGAGTTCGGGTCGAAAAGTATTGGGCGCAGATATCTTGGCTTAGCTGTAAACCACAAAACAATGCACTCGCACTCGCGGCACTTGCTAAGACTAATAGTGTAGCGTTATTGCATTCTTCTTCTTCTTCGAAGACACTCTGAAAACTTCTGGTTTTAGATTTCTATGCATCCTGCTCCAGAACCTGAGTGTTGCGTTTTTACAGTTGATTCAATTGAATGTAGACTGCTGGTTCCTTGCCTCTCAGGCAGATGCACTGACTTCAAATGAAGCTCCCCATTAGTCGACTCTTACCTTGTTTTTGTTGCAGTGGGTCTATATTGTTTTCCCCACAAAGGGCCCCAGAACCAACACGGGGTGAGCAGATTGAAAATAACAAGCCGTGAGAAGATTGAGTTGTAATAGCTATTTTCAGCGAAGGAGAATATTAGTATGTTTTTTTTTTAAATACAGAAGCCATGAGTTGTTAACCCTTAGGCTCGGTACTATGGATATCGCAACCTTTCGGCCCTGATTACGTGATAGATACCGTAAATCTGGGAGAAATGTGGCTTTTCTGCCTACCCCTGGGCGTGAACCCGGACCACAAGGATTTCGTTACCCTGTCACCGCTCAGTCCGGTTTAGCCAACTACGCTAGAGAGCCGGGCAATATTATATTTTGATATGTTAAATGTGTGCGCGCGTGTGTGTGTGAATTTAACCTTTACGCCAAGGTCGACCCAGCTTTAAATGAATACCGGGTAAAGTCCTAGGAAATAAAGGCGGTTATCATGATGTTTGCTGTATTACCAATCGAGTGCTGAGTGGTCTATAAAATATGGGACTAGCCCTATATGCCCATCACACCTAAAGGTGCAGAAAGGGGTCCTTTACTCTACTTTACTTATAAGTAAGAGTTAGTAAGGGCGTTCGTGCTGATGTTGATAATATCGCTCATCGTGCGATTGTCGATTAGTTTACAAACAAAATATAGGGCTGGAAGCATATATCAGATGCTTACTGAGCAACTGAGGAGTCAAATGGATGGGTCCCCGTGTGGGTTCCCGGGCCCCATTGTGGGGAGAACCAGAATAAACCCACTGCCTGCCTAACAAGCATGTCGTAAGAGTCGACTAACTGGGGTTTCCTTCGAAGTCGACGTGCATCTGCCTGAGAGACAGTGAAACACCAGTCTGTATACAAATAAGTCAGATCTGTAAAATGTACGGACGCAATACTCGGGTTCTGGGACAAGACTAAAGTCCAGAGGTGGACCAAACAGAACTGTCCAGAATTGTCCGCCGTTGCTGCCAGAAAAGAAGAAGAAGAAGAAGAAGAAGAAGAAGAAGAAGAAGAAGAAAAAGAAGAAGAAGAAGAAGAAGAAGAAGAAGAAGAAGAAGAAGAAGAAGAAGAAGAAGAAGATGAAGAAGAAGAAGAAGAAGAAGGAGAAATCAATGTGTAGAACTTCCGCACCCCACCTCGAAAACATACCTAACCTAAAACACGCCGCAGTCTAATTTTGCAGGGTGCTTGTATATATAAGCCCTACCCTAAATAAATAACATAATATAACCCTTGACTCGTTAGGAGGTGTATCGATGGAAGCACTAACACAAAACCCGCTATCTTCCTTTCCTCCGCTTCTTGAAAAAGTGTATCATAACTTAGTCTTGTCCATTTTTTGATGTTGTCATTCCAGTTCTCCTTTTCCCTCCTCTTCTTCGACTACCCCAATTTTCCTCTGCAATCGAATCATGCCCCATCACGTGACCAAGCCAAGCTAGCTTGCGACGTCTTATCACTGCCAAAAGAGGCTCCTGATGTCATGCAAATTTGTTTATTTTGTACTCTGACATATTTGTTAGTTTTATGTTCTAAATAACCAGTTCTCAACATTCATTTATAATTTACATTCGAAAGCCTAATTCCTCCCTCCTATTTCCAAAGTGAGAGTCCTAACTCTCGCATCCGTGTATGAAAATAGACGGTACCAGTGATTTGTATATATCCTAATTAATGCCCTAGTCACGATCGCCAGAAGAAGGAGGAGGAGGAGAAGAAGATGATGATGATGATGTATTTTGAGGTTTTTGAACAACAGATCAACATTATGGCACACGGGTAGTAACACATAAGTGCTCCGTTCTTCTTCTAACTCAAGCCTGAGTCTGAAGAAGCACAGCACAGTACACAGGCCCTGTAGCACCGGCGAGGATCCTGAAATACTTTCGGTAGATTCTCAACCCCAAATTTAGCCCGGGCACGGCCGTTAGGCTACTTTTTTTTCGATTTCCAACTGCCAAGGGATTTTTTTTTTTCGTAAGCAACAATACACACGGACGTCCGTTCTCACTACCCAGAGACCAGGGGGAATTACTAGAAGTCCAAATCCACGCGAAAAAATCCCAGCCCTTACTTGAAATTGAACCCAGAACCTCTATCACTCGAGGCAGACACCATGCCTCAAGACCACGAAGCCCCCCTGATGATGATGTTTAAGAAGAAGAAGAAGAAGAAGAAGAAGAAGAAGAAGAAGAAGAAGAGAAGAAGAAGAAGAGGGAGGAGGAGAAGGAGGATGTTCAGGCAAGAAAGCTTTTTAAACACACCTTGTATTAATTTCTACCGTTTTTCTTTTTATTCACAGAGTCCATATATTCGACAGTGCAACATTAGGACTACGAGCTACCACGATCTGACAAGCATTTAGCAAATATGCCATTCAATGACGATTTCAGTAAACTGACCTAAGTTAAAGTAATATTTCGTATCGCCGCAGAAAAAGATACAGTGACCTTTACCCTGTGTGGTCCTGGTTAATTAAACTAAAAACTGCCAGGAGTTTCTAGTCACGATAGAATGGCGTTGTGGACTGTGTTGATTCATGTGTATGTTATGTTTGCTGTTGTTGTGTCTTCGCGGATTCCGCCTTCAGACAACAGAAAGAAGAGAGAGAAATCTATGCTGGATTTTGTTGATTGTGGTAAGTCGGCAATTTACTAATTATTGTAGCAGTATTTTTTCCTTTTCGTAAGTACTAATTAAAATTTTTTTTTTTTTTTTTTTTTTCTGAAGTAATTATTATTCTTTAGACAAAGAAGAGGAGAAATACTGGCATCTTGAAAGATCTGAACATCAAGGAAAGTTGGACAATAAACAGCATCCTATCTAGGATGCTGAAATATTTTACTCATATCAAGCGCTACGGCGGATGAAAAAAAAAAAAATTAAAGCAGACGGTATGGTACCAGGAAGGAGGAGCCAGGGCCGACCAATGCAAATATGGGACAGAGGATATAGGTGACTCTTTGAGTATGAAAGTACATGAGGCGGAAGAGCTGGGAGAGACCAGCAAAGGACCTGCTACATGGTGATGATGATGATGTATTATTATCTTTACAAAACAATGTTTGTTTGAAAGTAAAAGTAAAGGACCCTTTTCCAGCCTTTTGTTTTTAGGCACACAGGGCTAGACCTATATTTTATAGACCAATCGGCACTCAATGGGGGATGTGGCCAACATCAAGCAGAATTTTTGAATAAATAATTTATATTATTATTCACGTAACCGTGGTATAAGTAATTTCTCATAAGCAGATAAGTAATTAACACTAAGTTATAAGCTATGCATTGAGAACCTACATCATATACTCGAGACATTCCAACTCCGCTCCGCCTTCATCTTCTTCTTTTTGTTTTAAACAGACCCATCGACAGTAGGTGAGTAATGTGGGTCAGTATTACGCCGGCCGTCTTTACTTCCACAAGACATACATCTTAGTACCCATTTTAGGCTGGGTTGACCTGCGAGGCTCCATACAAAGATAAAGCCAACAGTGGGTTTCGATTGCAGTACTACGCAGTAAAAGACAGCTTGTAAATCCGTTTCGCCCTTCCTCTAAGTGTTTAGCGTTGTCCAAACCCCATTGGTCACTCTTGTGGATAAACTACATCTATGCTGCATTAACCGGATAATATAATCGTATTATTATACCTGTAGGTTCCTCCAATCCCCCCCCCCCACCCCCTTGTTCTTTTCCTCACACCTCCCCCAACACCCTTCGTCCCCCTCCCCAACCCCCTTGTTCTTTTCCTCACACCTCCCCCCACACCCGTGCCCCTCCCCCACCCTCTTGTTCTTTTCCTCACACCTCCCCCAACACCCTTCGTCCCCCCCCCCCCTTGTTCTTTTCCTCACACCTCCCCCCAACACCCTTCGCCCCCCCCCCTTTTTTTTTACAAGACTGTTATGTCTAATAATGTTGCCGATATATATATAACTCTTTGAGTCCTAAAGAACGCATCATACGTTCAAAGGTTACTGCCTAGATGCCAAATGAACTCATGATGCGCTGATTTTAGTCTCTCTTGGCTATCCCTTGGGCCTGTGAAGCTAAACCCTCTGGAACTCGAAGAGCTAAACTGCTTGACCATTGTAGACATGCCGTGGTCAGTAGACAACGAGATATAGAGGAAGACAACGAGAGGATGCTCTTGACCGCCTGCAAGGCTGGCACGGAGAAGTGTAGGCAGGAGAAAACTACTGGCTGTGACGTTGGTTGTCACACACGCTTAAACGCCAGTGTCTTGCTTCGACTGTCATTCATTTCCAATATAATTGTTTTTTCATGCCATTGTCTCTTACTGTCTAGTGTCGTTTCTCTGGATATTTCCAGGTAATTCTTGCTTTACAAATCTCTCAAAGAAAGAGTACGTTATTTTTCCCGCTTCGTAACACCCGAGATTTCTTCTTCTTCATTCGTGTTCACCAGCTGCAAACTCTGGCGAAAAGTTCAGGCTGTTTGTCCACTTCTGGACTGCAGTCTTGTTAAAGAACCTAAGTGTTGCTTGTGCATCTATTTTTGAGTAGGTGGTTGGGTCTATTCTTGTTTTCCCTATAATAGGGCCCCGGAACCAACACGGGGAACATCTGATTTCAAAAGAGGGTAACTCGCCGTGTGGGGTTCAATAGTAAAAAGGTGTGGGGGGGGGGGGGGGGAGGGTAATAAATTGGCTGCCTTCCCAACAAGCATATGGTAAATGTCGACTAATTGGAGCTGTACTCTTCGAAATCGGAGTGCATCTACCCGAGTAGCGAGACTAGCAATCTGCATACAAATAAGATCTGCAAAACTTATCCACACAAAACTCAAGTTCTGGTACAAGACCAAAGGCCTGAAGTGGACAAACAACCATAACTGTTCCTCCCGAGTTTACAGCAGGTGAACGCGAAGAAGAAGAAGCAGAAGAAAAAGGTGGAACCAATAATGTATGAATGAATGAATGAATGAATGAATGAATGAATGAATGAATGAATGAATGAATGAATGAATGAATGAATGAATGAATGAATGAATGAATGACTTACCCAATGAGTGAATGAACTAAAGAATGCATAAACGAATGAATGAATGAACGAATGAACGAACAAATGAAAGAACGATTGAATGAATTTTTATTACTAAACTCAAGATTTATCCACGGGCGCTCTATCTTCTTACTCAATAGCCCAAGAAAGATTCCAGTACATGTAATGCAGTCTACAACCTCATTAAAAGTAAGATTTAACTCTCTTGCAATATTTACAGGAACAGAAGAGGCACTGATTCACTCTCTCAGCGTCGGTGCCAGTATAATCGCAGTATATCGCATAATCCATTGGTACATTGTAAATCGCACCACGGAAGTCTTAGATTAGTCGCACGATCCTTCTGCTTACATAATGTACGATTGCTCATAATTTCGAACGCTTCCGAAAATATCTAAAGATGCTCTCTCTCTCTCTCTCTCTCTCTCTCTCTCTCTCTCTCTCTCTCTCTCTCTCTCTCTCTCTCTCTCTCTCTCTCTCTCTCTCTGAGTGTGCGTGTGTGTATGTGTGCTACATTGATGTAAACGGTGTAGTATGCACCGAGCGAGAAACACCGAAATATGACACTTCTCTTCGAATTACAACCTAAGCTACTTTAGATCAACGGCACTTACGAACACAATAAATAACTACAAATCTTAAATGACTATGGGTATCTACATTGGTAGGGTGAACACGTTCCCGGAACTTATGCCGTATAGTACGTATTGTGAATTTGTTTCATATTATATACAGTAATTATACGAATATAGATTTAATCTTTGTGATTTGTGTACAGTTTTTATAAGTTATAATATCACCAGCTTGATTACAAACTGTGAATAACAGTAAAAGATCTGTTCCCATGCCTTCATGCGTACTGGGTTTATAGGGCAAGACCTGTATTTCATAGACCAATTGGCACTTCATGGGTGATGTGGTCAGCATCACGCCGAACGCCTTTACTTTCAAGGCTGGGTCGACCTGGGAGCCAAGGTCATTTTTGAAAAAAGTCAGGCCCCTGTGAGGACCCCAACCCCTGACCTGCCGCTCCGCAGGCGAGCTTCTGATTTTAAACAGTATTGAAACATATACAATATAAGGGAAAGATTTATAGCCGAACGAAAAGTATATCAGCGAGCTTCACAATATAACAAACACATACACAACGTGAACGTTGCGGCTATTGTGCTTTCGTCAGTACATATATAAATCAAACAAAACCACACGAATACACAAAATCACTTAACTCACGTATCTAGATGCAGCCACATGGATGTCTTGCCAGTGCAATAAAAAAGAACACACTGAATAGGAAAACAAATACCCGTAGAATGATGAAACGTATACATTCGACATACGATAGGTAGAGAAGACCTTGTGTAATATATTGTTTGTGTCTTTGATTTTTTTAATTCACATCAGAAGACATTGTTTTGAGTTTATCGTAATCTTTCCAGGAACTGCAGAAAAACTGATTCACTTCCATCACGTGGATGCCAGTCCCAATCCGGTGATCATCCCTGGGACTCTACACATAAGCATGTCGGGAAACGTCACCTCTGACCTGCCCAGGCGAGTCAATGTCTACATGGGGATGAAGAAGTATCTTTTCGGATTTCCCTTCACCGTACCTTGCCTGGCAACTGGCATAGGTTCCTGGTATGTATACGGTAACTTAATAGTGGCGTCGTTTCTGTGAAAGTGGTCAAAACATTTGCCACGTGTTCTGAAGGTCGTAGGGTCAATTTTTAAACGGCGTCGTGGGAGTCGCCACTGAAGTCTTTATTTCATTTTTTAACCGTGGTTCGTCGTGGGCGCTAACGAGTCCGTGTTTTGTATAGTGCTCTAGCCAGGAGGCTGAGCGCTCGGTGGAGGTATACTGAACCAAGTGGGACAAAACCCTGTGCACTTTAAAAGATCCAGGTGGTTTCCCTATTGCCTCCCCCCATCAAGCATGTCTTAAGAGTCGACTAACTGGGAGCTTCCTTCGAAGTCGGGGTGCATCTGCCTCAGAGGCAAGGAACCAACTGTCTGCATACACATTTGTCAGATCTGTAAAAACGGACGCGCAGGCAACACTCAGGTCCTGCAGGACCACAGTCCAGAAGTGAGCGAACAACCAGAACGGAGTTTACAACCGGTGAACGCAAAGAAGAAAAGCAAGATATACACGAAAACAGCGTAACAGTGTCTAGTTACTTTGTGAAGTTAGCATGGATTCTCATGCGATCCATCAATTCCCAGCGCGTATGTCACTTAGATCAAACAAGATCAAATAAAGAGCTTTTTTTGCACGCCTTTATACGTGGCGTGATGTGGTCAACATCACGGTGGCCGCCTTTACTTCCTATGACCATTTAAGGCTTTACTGACCTGGGAGTTAATGTCTTATATATATTAAATTTAAAAAAAAATCTGGTTCCATGTAGATTTGAACCCTTGAACTTCGGATTTACATGCCGCCAAGCCTCTACACAGCGTCGGATCTGTATGATAGAGTAAATGAGGATAGATGATTTAGCAATAGAGCGATGGCGGCTCATTTAGAGCAACCCTTTCCTGAGACGAACTTGTTCATGAGTGGAATAATTAGCTGGCATGCTAACTGACGGTTTAATAATAATTAAAAGGAAGAAGAAAAAAAAAGTGTAAATAGCGTTCAAACAGCTACTAAGAGCTTTCGCTTATTAACTGCGGTTTCGCTGCCTGAGCTTCTGAGTTTAGTGCTTGGTGCAGCCCTGTGAGCTGTGTTTTTCCTGTGGAGTGCCTGTCATTTGTGCAGCGGTTTGTGTCATGGTGTTCAATATAAGCGATAGCCGGCTTAATTGTGAGCTGGTGAAATACCTTATGTAATAATGACACGTGTGTACAGTAATCAACTTCTCGTGCCCGATTACTTCCATCAACAACATACTGCATTTCTGGTGGCAGTTGTTGGCGTTGGAGCCTCTTGCAACTTAAATACTCATTTGCTACGTGCGTATGTTACTGGATTGTCCCGGGACTAATTGTTTGCTCACCAGATTTTCAAATGCGACAGTGAGGGACATTTCATTTGATTTGCACTGGCACAGGAACCGAGCAAGTATGGGGAAACCCGACTGCAGTGGTGTTGTAATCCCGACTAAGACTTATCAATCATCATCAATTCTCTTTATGCCTAGTGGCACATGAGGCTTTAGGGGGGACTTTTCATGCTTTCCTGTCCTGTGCAATCTTCAGTTTTCCTTGTCAGAGAGGCCGCACTTTGGTCACTTTTCATCGTTCGTATCCCTGTTGTTTTTGGCGCTCCTTTTTTGCACTCTTGTGTTCTCTTCCAAGAATAATGCAGGTTATAGTTCTGCATTTCTTAAATTACTTGGGCGGTTTTGGCCGTTTCAAACATGGTTCTCACATTCCAAAAGCCAATTCTTAATTTAGTTTTGACGCCCAGTAGACTTGTTTTCCCATCATGGGCTTCCTTTCGGCTTTCACCCATGTTGTTCATGCTGACAGAGGGACTAAGACTAAGTGTGATCTTTACATCGTAATCCTGTATAAAACAGTATACCTTGTGGTCCACTCAACGCACATTTTGTTTGTTCAAATCTTGTCAAACGTCGCTTCCTTATGTCAAACTACTTCTTCTCAAACATATTAGTGGCGGCTTTCAAAAGAGGCGCCCAACGTCGTTCATTTCGTGTTGTTTGGTGTCGTTCCCAGGAAGGGATACTTTCTCGGGGGACAAATTTGGCGAGACACTTTCCTACGTCTGGTACTAGTGTCTTCCCACTCCTATTGGCATGATGAGTGAGTGAAGTTGTACGCCACTCGAACCACGCCCTGAGCGATTAGCACCCGATGACCCAAAGTGTTATCATGCAAATGTTGGAGACATGGAGTCGAACGATGAAAAGTGACCTGAATGCGGCATCTCCGACATGGAGAACTGCACCGAAGATTGCACAGGTCATATTCTTGAAACACGTTCAATCGTAAGATTGTATTGGGCCTTCGACGGTTACAAAGGGACCTCAAGTCAAGAGAGGGTAGGGCAAGATGATTTCCAGTACACAGATGGTACATTTTAAAAGAAACCGTTAGCGAATGAATGAATGATGATCAACCCCACCAGGATATCCACTAAGCGATGAAAACCCACAAAGTACCACCATGCAAATAAGGGTCACACGCGGAGAGGTCCCAGAAACCGTGTTCAGCCGTCAGACAATATACCAGCCCCCGGCAAAAAGCCAGGATGGGGCTTCAAAATAACGAAAAACTGCGCCCACATGGGGACGACTATTGGAATCTATAGTGTTTTATTTAGCTAAAACTGCAAGAAAAAAATATATATATATTTATATATATAACATCTCTGTATTCTCTGTGTGGTCTCCTAGACACGCTTGATAAAGTCAAGATATGTTTAACCTTCTGTCCTGCTCCATAAATCTAGCAATGAGATAGTTTCTGTTGATAAACACACCGCCCAGGTGGCGCATACGGCATGTCATTTTGCAGCAAGTGGCTCAGAAATCAGCACAATTAAATCGCAGAAATTTAAAGGGAAATAATAAAGTAAAAAAAAGCATGTAGGTATTTATTTTAGCATTATTTCCCTTATAAAATCTTAAAGTGGGTTTTTTTTATGTATCCACAAACCTTGAGTTGTTTACCCTTTGGCTCGGTACTATGGATATCGCAACCCTTCGGCATTCATTCCATAAAAGACACCGTAAATCTGGGAGAAATGTGGTTTTTATGCCTACCCCCGAGTGTAAATCCGGACCAAAAGTAGTTAGTCACCCGAAGTTGGATGCCCCATAGGACCGCACACTGAATAAAAGTGTCACTGTTCGGATGAGAATCTCGCAGGTACTAATTCCGGAAACCCCATTCCGTAACGTTATTTAAGGCCCTACAATTTCAAAGTTTGCAGGGCAGGGCTAGATAGACAGTTTCTAGACGATTTTAATAATCGTTAGTGAAGTTATTTGCCTTTAGGACGTTGCAGAACCAATTGCATCATTTTTGGGCTGAGAACCTGTTAGTATAAATGTTTAATAGTTGTAGAACCCTGGCCAACTACCGTACAGCTGAATGGTTCTGGTCTAAATCAAGTTAGGGAAATTAAATATCTACACTCTACGCCTTCACGTTATGACAATAGTCAGTTTCAACCCGCGTGGATTGGATCGCAAATTATCCCTCCCCACGCCGCTTTACGGCAGAAGTAGTTTATAATTATGATGATGATTTTAATGAATACAAATGCCTCCAGATAACTGAAAATGTGTTGATTGCACAAATTTGAATAACCGCATTGTTTAATCTGAAGATCCCAATTACAGTAGCTGTGATAGGTGTCCTAGTGACAACTCCTTAGGAAGTTGAAAGGTGTGTCTGAGAGTTACCTTCCAGATTTGCCTGCAAGCTTAAAGTATAATCCCACTGTGATCATGTCTTCATTAGCAGACCAGAGGGAAAATTTAACTTGAACACAAAAGTTACCTACCCACACTGGACGCAATTGGTTAGGCAATTCACACAGACACACACACACGCACACATACATTTAATATATATATATGGTTAGTTGCACGATGCCCCCCCCCCCCCCTCCGAGATCGCCTATATACACACTAGCTCACTTCTGACTGGTCGACCTTGAGTCACCCGATAATGGCACAAGGTGACGCGGGTGTTCCCTAATGCCATTGATATCGCGCGTTCTATATTTCAACATGCCAGAGCTTTTAACACTACAAAAACACGGAGAAACTGGGTCTAACTCACAACTCCCTACATGGTGCTGCAACCTATGTCACAGGCATTCTCTTTCTCAGAAAAAAAAACGTAAATGCAAGACAAGACAGAAAGCAAACATATATACACACCCGTATACTAAAGAATATCATATATGGAACGTGACCTACTTTATCTGGGGAGATTAACGTATATATATATATATATATATATATATATATATATATATATATATATATATATATATATATATATCATTGCGTTCTAGGCGTTTCTGTCCATAATATTCTGGTGTGTGCGAGGTAACTAGCAGACTGACAGGTTAGCTGCTGCCGCACCTCTGGGCGGTGAGCTACTCTATGATAAAGCGGACGTGTTGAAGACTGTATGGGATAAAATGAACAGTACAATAAAACTGATAGGGAATCCACACAAGGGTTATGTAGAGGTTCTGAAATATATTCAGTAGTGACGGGGGAAACAGGCAAATTCTTCATCGGTTAGCAACTGGTGTAACTGGCATGTTGACTCTTCGTTAGCTACCGAAAAAGGGGAAGGAGTTGTGTTGGAATGTCCCAGGTGCAATGATGTCAGTTTGTCATTCACTCATTCCTTAATTCATTCATTCATTCATTTTTTCATTCATGTATTCATCCATACATTCATTCATTCATTCATTCATTTATTCATCCATACATTCATTCATGCATACATTCATCCATCCATCCATCCATCCATCCATCCATCCATCCATCCATCCATCCATCCATCCATCCATCCATCCATCCATCCATCCATCCATTCATTCATTCATTCATTCATTTATTCATTCATTCATTCATTCAAATCTATATCCACTGATATCCATAATTCATATGTTATCCACAGTTCATACGAAAACCTCTGCGCCAGCCTGGAGCAGTATGAAGTGAACGGCTGCCCCGGACCGTTACGTCACCTAGGATTTCCCTGCCATTGTCCTTTCTTAGCCGGGGACTTTAGCCTGACGGACATCCCGCTCAACATCCCCAAGATCCAGGGATTTGCCAGTACGCTGCTGAACGTAAGTGTCCGTGACAAAAGGCAACTTGCTGTCAGTAGTCTTCGTCTTCTTTATTCTTTTTCTCCTTCGCCGGCAATAAACTCCTGCGAAAATGTCTGGTTGTTCATCCACTTCTGGACTCTAGTACTGTTCCAGAAACTGAATGTTGCTAGCACATCCGTTTTAGAGGTCCGACTCATTCGCTTGCAGACTGTTGGTTGCTTGCCGCTCAGGCAGATGTACTCTGACTTTGAAGAAAGCTCCCAATTAGCCGACTCTTACGACATGATTTCGCGCAGGCTTTGGGTCTATTCTTGTTTTGCTTCACAATAGGGCACCGGAACCCACACGGGGAGCTGTCAGTTGTATCTATTTCCTCTGCACATCGAGGAGAACTGCCTCAAAAGCAGCAACCGGCCCCAGAAGCTGAGGTATTTTGGCCATATTAAACGTCGCATTGGCTTGGAAAGGACGTTGCTGCAGGATTCGGTCGAGACCTCATTGAAGGTAAATACAGGACACTGAAGATTCATTGGCTATAAAAGCACATAAGCTTGAGGAACAGGATAGAGAAAGAGAGACTTTCAGGTCTCCTGTGGGAAGAGCGTCGTTCTGTAAAGATCTACTGATCGAGGATCTGTTACGTCAAATTTACACCTACAAAGTGAGACTCCTGGTGAAAACCGCAAATTAAATAATCAGAGACAGTAAGAAATGTGAAATCAGACAGTCAGGTATCGTGTTCAGAATGGAGGTTTTCTAAAACGAACCTGAATATCACCTGCTTCTTTTCTTGCCAGTGTACCTGATTGTAGCCTTGCTTAGAAAGTTGTTCGTCGATATCTTGTTGTTTTCTTTCCGCTTGCATCGTTGTCTATTTCTTTCTCTTTTGCCTTTGACTCCCCCCCCCCCCCCCCCTTCCCTGGGTTCTTAAGAGAGAAATGAAACTACCAGTTAGAAAATTAAAACAATACCTTGCACCAAATTAAAAAGCAGAAGATCAGATGGTTTGGTCATCTTGTTAGGTTTAGGGTTAGACGACGGATCAACATCATGGCACAAGTTTAGTAACCCATAAGTGCTCCGTTCTACTTCTGACTCAAGTCTGAGTACAAATATAATTAGCGCAGTGCACGAACTCAGTAGCACTGGCGAGGATGCTGAGATACTTTGGGCAGATTTTTAATTCAAAATTTTGACCAGGCAACGCCGTTGGGCTACTCTTTTTTTCTTCTCCAACTGCCATGGAATATTTTACGTGTGCAACAATACACACGGGTGTCCGATCTTACTACCCAGAGACCATGGGAAATCACTAAAAGTCCACGTGGAAAAAACAAACAACCATGACCGGGACTTGAATCCGGGACCGTCAGCACTCGAGGAGGACGCCATGCCTCGAAACCACACAGAAGTATATTTGTATACAATCCATTACTACATCTTTTTAGAACACAGTCATAATAACTACCAACATATGTGCAACACAGAACAAGGATCTCACGTAAGAGAAAACAGGCCTAAATGAGAAGATGGATTGCCGATTGTAAAGATATTATACATCCATCCAATCGGAATAGCAATAGCCAATGCCTCTTGCTGAGTGAGAGTCGCCATATCGATCTAAGGATCGGAAAGTCGTGGGTTCGCTTCCTGGCAAAAAAAAATAAAATAACCTAGACTCCCAGGTCGACATAGCCTTGAGTGGGTACCAGGTGCAGTCTGTGAAAGCAAAGGCGGCCGGCGTGATGTTGGCAACATATCCCACAAAGTGCCGATTGGAGGTCAAGCCCCATATTCCTAATACGCCTAAAGCTGATCGTACAGTGGAAACGGCAAACTACGGAGTGTAAAAATGTGCCTAGAAAAACCGCAACAGCCAAAAAGTGCTCTTTAGGGTCGATCTGGCAGCCAATTGAAATTTAATTTTTTTTAAGGGGGAGGAGAGTGAAACATCCGCACGAATGCGCGTTTGAACCTTAGACCATTGAGTCAGCAGGCTTCCACCTATGTGTATGTTCCTAATTACTTTTTCTCATTAAATTATGTGTCTATGCATTAGTCCATTTATCTATTGTCAGTCAGTTCTTTCCACTGCTTTTGTCTCTTATTTCTTATATGTTCTTGTTCATTTCCATTCTTTGAGGTTTCTGTGTTCTTTGTGACATGTTTGTTCGTGTTTCTAAAAATTATTTCTTTTATATTGCTTCTAGTGAGTAAACATTTCACTTTATTTTCACTTTTAAAAAAAAATGCCAAACCGATCTTGTTCATCAATATACTTTTCGTTTACTACTCACTAGTTGCTATTTAGCGGCGTCCGTGGCTAAGGCGTTGCGAGTCTGACTCGTAAGCCAGCATACCGCGATCGAAACCCACTGCAGGCTGCGTGGATTTTTGTCGTGGTATGGGACGTCGCAGGTCGACCCAGCCTAAAATGGGTACCAGGATGGGCTGTCCTGGGAAAGTAAAGACAGCCGGCGTAATGCTGACCACATTACCCACCGAGTGCTGATGGTCTGTAAAAATATGGGACGCTCTGCCCATATGCCCGATGCGCCGAAAGGCGTCAAAAGGGATCTTTACTTTACTTTACTTAGTTGCTATTCAGTAAATTGTTTTCACATTTATTGTCCACTAAATGTTACTGAAAAATTATCTTTCTTTAAATTACTCACTGATTTTTACTCAGTTAATTGTTTCTACTGATTAATCACACATTTTACTCACTAATCATATCAGTTAATTATTCATTAATTGTAACAATTAATTATTTACTGATAGTTACGCACAAATTCTTTCCAGTTTTTACTCATTAATTTTTTTTACTCAATAAATCTTTCCATTTGTACTCAATAATTCATTCCATTTTGTACTCAATAATTCTTTCCATTTTGTACTCATTATTGCCTTCCATTTTGTACTCGTTAATTCTTTCCAGTTTTTTTACTCAATAACTTTCAAATTTTTACTTATTAATTCTTTCAGTTTTTTACGCAATATTTATTTCCAGTTTGTACGCATTAATTATTTCTATTCGAACCGCGCCTAGACTAAAGGCGACAGGTATTGATGATCTACCAGCTGAGACCATCAAGGCAGCAGGAGAAACGGGAGCAATATGGTTAAAGAGAATATTTCAGGTGGCATGGGAAAATCAAGAAACACCATCAGATTGGCAAACTGCTGTGGAAAAATAAAGGAAGTAAGAGGGGATGTACTAATTACAGAGGAATGTCACTTCTCAGTCACACTGGGAAAATGTATGCTAAGATCATCGAAAAAAGGCTGAGACCATTGATAGAGTATCAACTTTCAGAAGCACAGATGGGCTTTCGACGAAACAGAAGTTGCACAGATGACATTTATACATTGAGACAACTATCAGAGAGGGCAATAGAACATGATAAGACATGTTTGTTGACATTCATAGACCAAGAAAAAGCCTTCGATAGAGTCGACAGGAATATGGTGTGGGAATGTATGGGGAAAAAAGGAATCAGCAATCATCTCATTAATATTTGCAAAAGCCTGTACACATGTAGTAAATGCTGCATAAGATCAAAGGCAGGGTTGTCTAGAACTTTTATAGTGAACTCTGGTGTGCGTCAGGGCTGTGTACTATCGCCGCTTCTTTTCATAACATACATGGACGCCATATGTAGCGAAACAGACTTTAATCAGGGAGAAGATATAACAGAATTACTTTTCGCCGACGACCAGGTACTCATAGCAGAAAATATGGAATGCCTACAGAACCACCTAAATCAAATTAGTAACAAAGGGGAGGGATATAATATGAAAATAAACACTACGAAGACAGAGACAATGATGATAGGAAGACATAAAGACAATTTAGAAATTAAATTAAAAAACAACACCCTGAGACAAACAGAGGAATTTAAGTATTTGGGAGCAATTTTTACTTCAGACGGAAAACTGGACAGAGAAATTAGCTCCAGATGTGCCAAAGCTAATCAAGTAATGGGCCAACTATCTCCCCTGTTGACACACAAGCAGATACCTCAGAGTACTAAAGTGAATCTTATCAGAACTATTTTTTGGCCAATACTATGCTATCAGTGCTAAACGTGGACACTAACATCCTCCAATGAACGTAAAATTGTGACAACAGAGATGAAATGCCTTAGAAGAGCTGCAGGAGTTTCAAGGAAAGACAGAATACAAAATCATGAAATCAGACGAATGCTAGGAATAAAGCCAGTCTTACAGGTCATCAAAGAACAACAAATGAAATGGTTTGGACACCTAACAAGAATGCCCTGGTACTATCTGCCACAGCGAGCCACACTAAAACGTTACAACGGGTATAAAGCGAGTGGAAGACCTCGGAAAAGATGGAGTGATGGCATTAAGAACAGCCTTACAGAAATGAACATCAGTCTTAATAGTGCTCTTGACAGAGCTCATCAACGAACATAACATCTCCCCCCGACACTTCGATGAGGTACAAGGTGGAAGAGAAGAAGAAGAAGAAGAAGAATTATTTCCATTGTGTACTAATCATTAATTCTGTCCATTTTGTTCTCATTAATTCTTTCAATTTTGTACTCATTAATTCTTTCCATTTTGTACGCATTAATTCTTTTCATTTTGTACTCATTAACTCTTTCCACTTTGTAGTCATTAATTATTTCCATTTGGTACTCATTAATTGTCTCCATTTATTAACAGGGCGACTACGAGCTAGAACTGAGGATCAGCGAAGAGGACGGCGAAGAATTGGGCTGTCTGCACGTGAAGTTCTCCATGAAGAAGCGAAGCAAAGGATGGCTCTTTAAAATATGACGCCAGAAGAATCTAGAGCGCCAGTCTCTGGTAAACCAGACCGAAGCTCATGCTGACGCTCCTAAGAATGACCGAGACTTTAAAACAAGAAATTTGCGAAGAGAGGATAAAGATAAGAATAAAAGAAAAAGAAGGAGGAATAAGAGAAAGAAAGAAGAAGAGTTTCAAATGAATAGAAAGTCAAAAAGAGAAGATGGACAAATAAATAATCGCAAGCATGTTTCTGATATTCACGATAAAGAAGAAGAAATCGACGGCAAAAGAAGAAAGCGGAGAAATCAAAAGAAGCGAAAAAAGCGACTCAAAGAAAGGGAGCATGAGGTTCAAGGAAAGCATCAGTCCGTAGTGTTTGCTTCCACAACCTCTTGAAAGACCTTTGACATCAAAGATCTGCATGGTTAGACAATAACCATTCACGAATCTCAAGGCTCCAGAAGACACCAGATCTGCTAACGTAAGGAGCTGTTGAAGATTTGAGTCAATCCTGAACAGATCACTGTAACAAAGTGCTTGCTATGCAATGTCAAAGGTGATTTAGAAAAAAACACAAGACAAATTACAAGCACGGTTCATGTCGATCAAGCAACTTACCTGAGCCTTATACATTATTACTAGTGCCTTCTGACAACAATCCCTGTGATTATGTGTACCTTACTATTGAGACAAAACAATGGACGAGTGATTTATGTGATAAGGGTAGCGTAGTTTTCGCCAATGAATATTTTGTATTTTGGTTAATTGTGAATGTTGTAGGATTCTATTAACGATTGTTATTTATGTACTACCAAAACGCGCCTTATGCAATGTTTTGCAGATGTTTGCCTTTAGACTTTAAGTCATAACCCTTACTAACATGGTACCATAAGTTCACGGAGCTCGCGTTAGCAGTAACAAGGTGCTTGTCTGTTGGGTCGGAGTTTTAGTTCAGGACTATTCACCTGGTGGCCTGCAGTCAGAATCCATCCAGCAGAAGCCTGGCAAATGGCCGGCTGTTCATTGCCTATTGTTTTGTAAAAGTGATCTTTCTGTGCTGGGGTTCAGATATCTAGCCAGGGACAATCTCAGTTGTCAACATGTTGGCCTCTGAGTATTATATTTAGATTGTGTACAGGACACGATAAGCTCTGGGGCCACAAGCACAAGAATTTCAGGACTGGGGACTTAGAACATTGTCCAGGTGGACAGGCAGCACAGAAATCTGAACTTGTGTTACAGACATACTCGCTACATGCAGTAGAGAGATCCCATACTTTGCAGCCTGGCATCCCATTGGCAACCAAGCCGTATGTCACAGTGGAAGAAATGTGTCGCAACACAAACTTTATAGAAACCTGTGACCTTGTCTAAAAACCACGGGCAGAGAGAAGAAAAAGAAGAAGAAGAAGAAGAAGAAAGAGGCCCCTGGGCATGCTTAGTTGTATAACCTTGTTATAATGTTTCAATCGACACCGGAACGGATTTTCATATTTGACCGAGGGCTCTAATATTGACCAGATATGGTGTCAGAAAAAATCTGGAACATTCAAGGGTTTATATATTTGAAGTGTCCTATACGTCATGCCTTAAAGAACTGTAAACCAACACTTTATGTCTGTTTTTTTTTTCCTGTTTTTTTTTTTCTTTTTCTTTGTTAATACATTCATACAAAGAGTTAAACTAATATAGCTATGATTTACTTTGTACCTCCTGGCGAATATCAGCGAATCAGGTATGCGTTGTTTCGTTAATGAAGCTTTTCTGTATTTTTTTTTTTTTTTCGTTAATGAAGCTTTTCTGTATTTTTTTTTTTTTCGTTAATGAAGCTTGTCTGTATTTTTTTTTTCGTTAATGAAGCTTGTCTGTATTTTTTTTTTTCGTTAATGAAGCTTGTCTGTATTTTTTTTTTTTTTCGTTAATGAAGCTTGTCTGTATGTTTTTTTTTTTTTTCGTTAATGAAGCTTGTCTGTATCTTTTTCACTGATTATGCATTTTTTCAGACAGTTGTTCATCCACATCCTAAAGTTATCGTCTTATTTCTAGCGCTGTCTACCTCTTCGTCTGCCTGTTTTCGTCTTTGTGTTCCTGGTATCTTTTATTAGACTGAGGCTTGTGTGGGTGTGTGATGTGTGTGGTTGAACTGTAGCCAACATATTTCAGTTTCTTCTCTTTCTTTCAACAACTATTATTTTCACTTCATCTCTTGAAAGCCTCTGAGTTTTATTTATTTTATTTCGTCGACATTCGACCTATTTATTCTTCTGTATATCCATATTTTTCTGCAGTATTTAGGAATTATCACACAGAGGTGAAAGGCTTTTGCGCCAAACCGATCTGAATGGCATATAGTCTCTAAGCATGATGCATCCACTTGTTAGACAGCAGAGGGTGTATTGTTTGTTGTACAGCGATGGCAGAGAAACAGGGCAGGCAAGGGGGAAAAACCCCACCAGCTTGCCAATCCTAGCTCATTGATCTTCCACCTGTTTTCCGCACTGCTCAAGAACTTCATATGGCTCCTTTCGAACCAATCACCACTTTCGTAAAAAGCATTGAATAATCAAATCGTTTACCCACAAAGCTGAGGAGTGGTTGGCCGAACGGTTAGGAAGCTGGGCTCTCATGTAAGAACCCGGTTCGAATCCTCGGTGAGGCTGGGGATTGTTTTCTGTCGGGGGCAAAAAAAAAAAAAAAAAATCCTCACTTGCACAGTCGTGGCAACAGCACTAGCCATGTGGTCTTAAATCCTATGCATCAAAAGACTCCCTGCCTACACCGCAGAAGTGGCATATAAAGGCAGTTATTGGCAGTTTTATTTTGCAATTTACCCAGTTAGATTGAATGCTTTGCGACGCCTTGACAGACAAGGCACGCGCGCAAGGAAAAGGAACAAGGGATAGACCAAGAACAGGATGGAAAGATAACATCATATACACTCTACAACAGCACGACTTGTCTGTGGTCGAGGTCGTGGGTGGATGAGCAAGACCGAGAACATTATATCTCCGCTGACACTGGAAGTGATGCGATAGAAAGTTTCTTGCCCCCTTTTTAAAAAATGAATTCTAGGCTGTCATCTTGAGGGAATAACAAATTAATCACATCTATAGCGCCTTAATTCGGCTTTATTGTTGTTTTTCGCTGTAAAAAAAACAAGTTACTGTTTTTTCCCCTAGATATCTTTATTTATGTGAGTATTTTTTAGACTCTTTTAAGGACAGAGAAGGGAATCTGTCGAAATGAAAGTACATTGTTTCAAGAAGGAAACAGTAAAGGTTGTCCTACCTGACTATGGACACCGGATATTAGAGATAATGTGGATATGACAATACAACAGGCATGATAAATTTTCCGGCAGGCTGTAATGTGAGCGACAGTCTGTAAAGAAGTTGCTACATTGTGACTGAGGCATCGTTTGATGGAAGACCTACGTAAGCATTTTTTGCTATCTAACATAAGCAACGACGACAACGAGGGCGGCCAAAGGATAAGATGGACTGACGACGTTAAGACATTTTACACCAGCACGGAATTACAAAAGCAGGAGGAGTCCATCAAGAAACAAATCACAAGCTTTGGTTCATTAGTGTTGGACAACAGCCGCATCCAACCTTTATTAGGGAGCCAGCACCTGATTAATTGACTGATTAATTAATTGACTGAATGATTGATTGAATGATTTATTGATTAAATGAATGATTGATTGGTTGAATGATTGATTGGTTGAATGATTGATTGATTGATAAATTGCTTAATTGAATGATTGATTGATGCGAACTAAACGGTAAAATATCGTTACAAGTGGTCAGCTGACGAGAAAGCCATACAAGATCAGGTATGGAGGGTCAGAAAAGAGAAGATGGACAAAAATAACCGCAAGCATGTGTCTGATATTCGAGGATAAAGAAGAAGTAATCGACGACAGAAGAAGAAAGCGGAGGAATCAAAAGAAGCGAAAAAGGCAACTCAAAGAAAGGGATCATGAGGTTCATGAAAAGCATCAGTCGGTAATTTTTGACTCCGCAACCTCTTGAATGACCTTGACATCAAAGATTTGCATGGTTAGACATAACCATTCACGAATCTCAAGGCTACAGAAAACACCGGGTCGCTATACCCAAGTAGATGCTAAAGATTTGAAGTCAATCCTCAACAGATCACGATAGCCCTTGTTTACCGTGACAACACCTTTATGATCACAAGCAACTTCAATTTTTAATGTCAGTCATAGTGAGCAAGATTAGTTAATGATCCAACTCTCGATGGTTGGCATGCTCTAATGTCATTCTATGAGGGTCTAGAACGTCTTCAGTGTCGTCGATTCATCTTCTTCTTGGATGCCTTTTTGATTCAACATCAGATCTGACATCCTAACATGGATAAATCGGGTTGCTGAAAACAACAACGTAAGTTAGTATGAATCCTGCAAATTCAACCCGGGCAACTGTTTTGGCTATTGGTGGTTTCACTATGCAGTTGAATGTTTAGTAGTGTGTCAAAGCTTTCTAAACAATCGGTTCTCAATACCACAGTTGAAACCAATACAGTACGGTCTGCTGCCAAATCGCCCATAGCTGTGATCGAACCCAGCAATTCGGAATTGCGAGGGACGTTCGCAGCGCCTCAGCCACAGAGTCCGACAACAAATAACATGTAGATCATAAGGTTAGAGACAAACAAGAACCATAACTTCGTACTGTTTTGCCCTGATTTATGCAGGCTGTGACAGTAAACTTCCCTGGGTACCTTTGCAGTTTATATGTTTTGTGTAGAAAAACCTGCTTGTTTTTCTTGGTATTTCACTAGTGTTCCAAACACTAAACGGGTGTTTTCACTGTAAATTGCCACTATAATTTGTTTTATTATGGTATGTTTAATACTGTCATCGTTCATTATCAATTTTCTTATAATTTTTTTAAACAATAGCCGTTTTCATCAATATATATATATATATATATATATATATATATATATATATATATATATATATATATATATATATATATATATATATATGTATATAT